TCCCACCCTTCCCAACCTCTGAGAACCTCAGCTCCTCTGGATCCTCACCTTTCAGTCTGTGAGGTTCAGCGTGGGCTGACTCCACTCCTAGCCCCTGGGATGGGCACAGCTTGCCTGTCAGTGTTCCCCCTCCTTGGCAACAGAGATTGGCACCAGGGTGGACATATGACCCCAGGCATATTGACAGTGAAGCCAGGGCTTGTCTGGGAATTGCTGGGAAGAGCCTGCATCTCTGCGAGGTGACGAAGCAGCTAGGTTTCAAGCGCCTCACGGTGTCCTGTCATCTTTGCCACCTCACAGAGAGAGCAAGAACGAGACTCCTGACAGCATGGCTGGACACCTGGATCTAGCCGCACCTGAAGCTGGATTTTTTCTTTTTTTCATTTCATGAGCCAATACTTTCCTTTTGGTTAAGCCAGTTGGGATTGGTTTCTGTTTAAAGCCGAGAGTCTTCGATAGCATTCCTCTCCTATTCTTTCAGGGGAGACGCTGTTGGGCAGTCAGTATAACTCTGTGTGTGCATGTATATGTGTGGTATGTGTTTGTGCTGCATGTATGTGTATGGTGTGTAGTGTGTGGTGTGTATGTGTGGTGTGTGTGGGGGCACATGTTGTATATATGTGTATGGTGTGTGTGTGTGATGTGTGTGTCCCGTCTGAGTGTACATCTCTATGGCTGTGCCTAGCTGAGGTCATGTATTATGCCTCCTTCATCCCTGACCCTGCCCTCAGTGGCCTGTCTAAGCAGAGCTCAAAACTGTCCACCCCTCTCCAGGTCTGGTTTCCCCGGCTCTGCTAGCTCCCTGGTGATCAGACCAGCACGATGCTTTAGCTAGTTCTCTGCCTCAACCTGTGTGCTACACTACCTGGGGACCAAGCCAACACGTGGATTGTGGTGCTAGAGCTTGAGGCTGGTGGATTCTGTCACCATGCTTGAATTTGAGATCCCATGGGGCCTGCCTGGCTAAGCTCCCAAGCTACTGACTGTACTGACCCACCCTGCTGCCTGCTGCCTGCGGGCAGATTCTCCCTGCCTTGCCTGAGGGAAGACTCCACTGTCTGCTTCCTTGACCTTGGACCCAGCAGCCCACGTGAGTTGAAGGACTTCTAGTATGTTAACTGTTCCATGAAAGTGAGTTGAACTGAGCCCTCTATTGCTGTGTGGACCCATTAGCTGTTATATGCCTTCTTACTTCTATATAATCACAAGTGTCCTGGTTTTGTTTCTCTAGAGAACCCTGCCTAACACACCCCGGAATCAAGAGTCTATGGGTCATGGTTTGAGGGGCGGTTCTGATGAGGTCTTTTCATGAAAATTAGCATCATCTGTGGTATACATCAGGCGCTTTACAAAGAAACCTCATATTTTCACTGTCCCGGGTTGCATAGTGGTTACACGTTGGGCTGCTAATGACAAGGTCAACAGTTCGAAACCACCAGCCGCTCTGAGAGAGAAAGATGAGGCTTGCTACTCCTGTAGAGAGTTACAGTCTCAAATCCTGAGGGGCAGTCCTACCCGGTTGTATAGGGTCGCTGTGAGTTGACATCGGCTCGTTGGCCGTGAGTTTGGTTTGGGTTTTGGCTTCTTCCTTCGCTTTAAAGGTTGATCCAACCCCACAGCCCTGGCTTCTGTCTGCAGTGCAGGTAGAAGCCCCAGTGAGGTGACACAGAACATGGCGCCCCTACATCTACCTCCAGTGCTGCACCCGCCTCTGAGTTCCAGCTTCACGTTTGTTTAGTCATTCAACAAATGTGTGGTTTCCGAGCCCCAGTGCATCGGGTTCAACATGGGCAGCGAAGAACACAGCCGGCCGTTCAAACCACCAGCAGCTTCAGCGGAGGTGGCCTGCTCCCATAAGAGTTGCAGTCTCAGCAACCCAGAGGGGCAGTTCTCCTCTGGCCTACAGGGTCAGCAGGACTCAACGTGGACTTGGTGGCAATGCATCCGGCGATGATGTGTGCAGAGTCTCTGGGCGGCACAGATGGTGGGCAGAAGAAAGGCCTGGCTGTAGCAGCCTTGAAAGCCATAAGCCCCGGCCACCAGATTGGTTCATAGGTTCTGATTCCTGGCAGCCCCGTAGGACAGCACAGAACTGCCCCAGCCTATCCCGAGGCTGCAATTCTTCAGGGAAGCAGACCTGAGGGGCTGGAGGTCTCGGTCAGCCCTGACTATGGGGACGGAGGTCTCTACCTCCGTTTCAGTCACTCTCTCCATCCCTAAGTCGTCCATCCGAGTTGCAGCCCTCCAGCATTTGTCCCTCTGGCCAGTTCTGTCTCTAAGTCTACCTGCCCTCCCCTCCCCCTTCATGGTCTTCCCTATTGCTCCATTGGCCACAAATCCAGACATCTCAACAAGTGCATGGGTGGGGTGCAGTCCTTCCTCAAGAAAGAGCAAACAGAGCCGGCCCCAATCCAAGCTACATGGACACCCCCCCACCCCCAGAAGAATGCACTTCAGAGGGCAGCACTGAAGCTACTGCTCAGGGAGAGGGGCGTGCCCGATCAGAGCACACAGGAGCAAACGAAAAGGGAGGGAGAGAAAGTGGAACACATCCTGGCCCACCAAGCCCGGAGGACGATATTCCTGCTCGGAGCAGCCAGTGCACAGAGAGGACCATAGGGCCGGCCCGCCACGAGACACGACGTCCCCACAGCACCACGGGGGTCAGCACTGGAGACTCAGTGCAGGAATTGTGCTCAATTCGACCCCACCACACTGGGATGAAACACTAAGGGCATGCAACAGAGCAGCAAGGGGAGCAAAGTAATGAAGTTCCCGAGGAATGCCAAAAACAGACTTTGGGAGCAGGGCACGGCACCCCATCAGACCAGAAAACACTCATGAAGGTCAACAGACAGACTTGGGACTATTTATAGGCTTTTCTTTTTTGTTGTGGCTATTTTCGGTTTAGTTTTGGGGAATTTTTGCTGTTTGTTTTGCTTTGTTTTGTTTTTGTGTTTATCATTGTTCTTGCATGTCTAGCTAAATAAGAGGCGGGATAAACAATCCAGAGGGGAAAGCAATTGGGACCAAAGGTTGGAGTGGGTGGATACAGGAGAGGGGAGGCTGAGGAAAGGAAGGGGGTAGCCAACCAACCCAGGGACAAAGGAAGAACAAGTGATCCAAAATCTATGGTGAGGAGGGCATAGAATGCCGGGTGGGGCTTGATCAAGTGGAATGTAGCCAAGAGGAATTACTGAAAGCTGAATGAAGGTCGAACATGATAGTGGGACAAGAGGAAAGAACTAGGAGGCAAAGTACATTTATAGAGGTCTAAATACAGGCATGTATGTACATATGCAAATATTTAATATATAATGGTAGGGAAATAGATCTATGTACATATATTTATGTTAAGTATTAAGGCAGCAGACGGACATTGGGCCTCTACTCAAGTACTCCCTCAATGCAAGAATACTTTCTTCTATTAAACTGGCATTCCATGATGCACACCTTCCTGACACAATCGCTGAAGACAAAGCAGGTGCATAAGCAAATGTGGTGAAGAAAGCTGATGGTGCCCGGCTATCAAAAGATATAGCATCTGGGGTCTT